CAAGTACTGATTTTGTTAATTAAAAATTTTAGACTATACTATAAATCCAGAAAAGTCAATATTTTCTAAGCCACTATGTGCCAAAATAATGTAATAAATACCAACTGTGACTTAACCAAAAACTTGATTAAAAGTTTTGACTTTATAATGGTGCCAAAGTGATCTTTACTCACTAGAAACCTTATTTCAAACTATGATCTTCTAAGCTAGCAATATGAGGCACACAATTCTCATGATGTTGTGTAGCAGCAGTGACTCATGGTTCAGAGTTAGCCACACAACCATGAGTTAAGCAACCTGCACACTACAATATATTGTGCTGCTAAACTACAATGTTTGGTAGATGCATTTTGGAAGCATGATATTGAAAAGTTATGGGGGGGGGGCGGCACTGTGGCATAGTGAGCCAAGCCTCCACCTGTGGAGCCGGCATCCCATATGGGTGCTGGTTCAAGTCCTGGCTGCTCCTCTTCGGAACCAGTTCTCTGCTATGGGCTAGGAAAGCAGAAGATGGCCCAAGTGTTTGGGCCCCTGAACTCGTGTGGGAGACTCGAAGAAGCTCCTGGCTCCTGGCTTTGGATCAGCCCAACTCCATCCAACTCTGGCTATTGCAAGCCACTTGCGGAGTGAACCAGCGGATGGAAGACCTTTCTCTCTGTCAAGCCCTGCCTCTCTGCCCTGTAACTCTACCTCTCAAATAAATAAATAAAATCTTTAAAAAAAGATTTTATTTTTAAATTATTTATTTTATCTTTAAAAAAAGAGTTATGAGGAGGCCTTTCAGGACCTAATCCCAGAACAGCTGTAACTAAAGAAAATGTTTAGTCTTCATGGCAATGTTTTGGTATTGAGTTACCAAAGCTGTAAAAGGATATTTAAGAAACTAATAAGGGGCCAGCACTGTTGCGCAGTAGGTTAAGCCTCTGCCTGTGGCACTGGCATTCCATATGGGCACCAGTTTGAGTCCCAGCTGTTCCACTTCCCTTCTAGCTCCCTGCTGATTGTCTGAGAAAGCAGCAGAAGATGGCACAAGTCCTTGGGCCCCTGCACCCAGAGGAGGTTCTTGGTTCTTGGTTTCAGATCAGCTCAGCTCCAGCTGCGGGAGTAAACCAGTGGATGGAAGACATTTCTCTGTCTTTCCTTCTCTCTGTCTATATCTCTCAAATAAAATCTTAAAAAAAAAAAGGAACAAATGAGAAATGTTAAGGGTCTTCAAAGAGTTCATGGAAAATGTACACTACTAAGGAACCATGCATAGATTTCACAATTTTCATACCAAAATAAGCTTATCTTTTAATTCCATTTTTGTATAATTTGAAGTATCTGTATAAATATCTATAATTAAATGAGTTCTTTGTTAACAGAATATAATTTTTCAATTTTTAACGAAAGAAAAAAATTAGAAAGTTCAACACATTCTCTCAAATTGAACACCTTGTCAACATGCATTTTACAGCCACAACTACCAGATATTCAGGTTATTTTCAAGAATCACAGAATTTCAGGGTGTGTTTTGCAACATGAAACAGGTGTCATTTTCCAAAATGGATAAATCTAAAATGATTTTTACTAAACAAAGTTTTATTTCTGTCTTATTTTAAATATGATGTCATTTATACAACATTATTGACATAACTTCTCTGGCTAAGCAATATAACTTTTATCTCACATATTCCACACTTACCTGTCTGAATATAAAAAGTTTTAATTGCTTCATTAATGTGGAAATAAGAGTTTAGCTCACAGTTTAAAAGTATAGACTTTTTAAAAGACTTCTTAAACTGAAATTTTCAGTGTAATTCATTTTATAAATATATATGTATGTGTTATGTATGTATATAGTTATCAAATAGTAAAAAAGTCTTTATTAAATATTTTCATAATATGTCTAGCTTGCATTTGTTTAGAAAACTTGTTTTATTCTCAATTTAATGGATTGAAAAAAATATATATGCTCTGAGTTTCACCTACTGGACAAGATGTCCTAAGTCTCAATCTGATGAAAATGCTGTCTTCAAGGAAAACAATGTTGGAAGGTTTTTGTGATATTTTAAATACTTTCTTATCTGCATATTTAAAAATTTTATCTACAGGATTAGGGAATAATTCCTTATTATAATGGGTAATGCCTAGGTTATTCATTCCAAAGGCAGAGTTAAGTTTTAAGCTGGAGTAGATTTTTATCACTTATATTCTTTTTTTTTTAAATTTTATTTATTTGACAGACAGTGAGAGAGACAGAAAGAAACGTCTTCCTTCCGTTGGTTCACCCCCAAATGGCCGCCACAACCAGAGTTACGCTGACTGAAGCCAGGAGCCAGGTGCTTCTTCCTGGTCTTCTATGCGGGTGCTGGCGCCCAAGCACCTGGGCCATCCTCCACTGCCCTCCCAGGCCACAGCAGAGAGCTGGACTGGAAGAGGAGCAACCAGAACTAGAACTTGGCACCCATATGGAATGCTGGCACCGCAGGTGGAGGATTAACCAAGTGAGCCATGGCACCGGCCCCCACTATATTCTATGCACAAATTAACACAGGCTTAAATTCAATGGTAAATATTTTTTAAAAATAAACTATACGTATCAGTGCCAATAAAAAAGTACCTCTTATGTTTTAAAAAGCTCTAAATTTTTTGTCTCAGGAACACATCTAGGTGGACAGAATCAATACTAACTAATCTGTAGTAAAAAAAAAACACACCCTATATTTAAATTGTTAAACACAAATTCTACAGAAAAGAGTCAGTAAATGAACACAACAATAAAGATGCTTGATAAGGATGCAAAACAGACCAAGGAGGACATAACTTGAGTCAAAGATTATTTGGCAGAAAACGAACCACTTCACAAATTGATGCTTATAACAGAAAGTAAAAAGGAAGCAGAGGAAAGATGATGATGATAGTTACAAGTTTGACATTTGTTCCTTAAAATTATTAAAGGTTGCTTCTATTTTAACTAGTAAGCTTTAAAAGCTACATTCAGATTGTAGCTTTTGGAACAGCAGAACAAAACAGCAGAACATTTGTCCAGTAATATTCTGAGAAAAGTTAATACAGTTCTCCAAAGTATCTAAGCTATTTCCTAGGAATACCTGAACACTAGGAAAAAACATACTTATAAAAAAGAAATACACATTTAGGCAATGCACTAGTTAAACACTACAACACACAGTTGTTAATAACTACCTTCTTAGTATACCTCTCTACACACAGTGCTCTATAGTATTGATTTAATCACTGCTTTGGATGAGAATTAATAATGTTTTCTTGAAGACCATGTGGCCATTTAATAACCTTTTGTACAGAGTTCTAAACAGCTTCCTCAAATGACTAACAAATAGTTTAGGTGCATAATAAGACTAACTCTGTTACATTTAGAGCTGCTATAATAACTTTATGAATAGTTTCTTTCCTTTGTTTTTCTAAAAACACTTTCTCCTATGTAGCACTTTCCTCCTTTCCCAAATATCCCAGCCCAAATGAAGTTATAGGGAATGAAGCAAAGTGGACAATCAATCAATAATTTCTTAATGCAACTCAAAAACTCATGATCAATGTTGATTATTTAAGAAATTGCTCCTCATTTCATGAATTACCCAGACATTGTCCATTTTGTTTCTCCTGTTCATAATTAGGACAGTTTCTCTTCAAAATTAATTCTACTGGGGGTGGGAGAAATAGAAATAATTGATACTATAAACACTACCATTTGTTATTAGCTCAAGCTTAATAACCATCTGCTCAATAAAAACTATTATTATTATGGATAATTTTGAGAAGCTCATGCATTAGCAAAATGAGACTTGAAGCCACTTCACGTTCAGCTCAACAGTGTTAAGGAAACAAATGTAATACAACATTTACAAATCAGATGTCATTACGAAAAGCTACACTTCCACCCTTCCTCAAATAAAAAGATGCAGAATCTGGCCAACCTGCCAAATAACAACTGGCTAGACAGGAGCAGTAGCTCTTCCCTTATAGGACATGGAGATTAATCACACTGCAGAGCCCATCATTCATGGTTCTCACTAACACCAAGGGCAAAATGTCAGTAGTCATTTGTGATCAGTCTTATCTTTTTAAAAATTATTGAGAATATTTCTTAGCTGCACTATTAGCAAAAGTGAAAGAAAAAAAAAAGAAAAAAATGTAGAAGGGTCCCTGTGTTTCTAGATCACATGAAAATAAAGAGTAACATTGCATGTTAAATATGCAAATATCTTTGTAGAAAGACCACAACTTAAAAAACTTCTGTAAAACAAACCACAAAGACCTTATTTATATTACATGCCAAAAACATAACACAATTTGAGTGTCTGAGCCACACAACAATCATATAAAATAACAAAATGACTGATATTTTGTGACACAAAAGTACTGTGCTGCCTTAATATCACTGTTTTTATGTTCATTTATTTAACCCTATGAGCTATCTGAAACCTGTTGATATGTCATTTGCTGCTAGGTTCTAAAAATGCCTGATAGAGAAAAGCTGCTGCTGTTTAAAAGACTTTATTAAATTTCTAAATTGTGCTGTCTGAAACTGCTCTAAATGTCATTTTACTAAAGCCAGATTTTATCAAAGTTATTTTAAAATTCTTCCAAGTCAATCTAGTACCTAGATAAAATAATTTTACTTTTATAGATAGCATTTACATTTTAAACTAATTCTGGTATTAATATAAAGCAATAAACACAATGCAATTTATTTTAGTACTGTTTATTTCAAGAATGTTCAGAGCTATAAAGCTTAAAGTGTAGCACAGACTATTTTTTGTTTGGATACTGATTAACATGGGTGAACCTTTAAAAACTACTCCCATTTAATAAATTAGAACATTTTGTATTTTTGAAACCTTAAAACTTAATGTTGGCTAATTATTAATTTTGTTAGGAATTCTTTATTCATCATTTTTCAAATATTTTGTTTTACACTATAGTAAAGATTATTTTTAATTTTTCCCCCAGAGATAAAGCAAGTTTTCAGTTTTGTTTACCATTCTCATTGCTATAGTTCATCAGCATGCCACAAAAGACAGTCAAGAGCTTCTCATTGGCGGGATCTGTTATACTGCACAGTGACCTTAAATGGTCAACTACAATCTGTGCACCACCTGCTTGGTCAACTGCACTTCTGCCCTCATCTGTAAAACAAAGAGTTAAATTACAAATAAAAGAAAAAATAAACGTACCTTATAACTTCAAATACAAAACATAACAGTGCTATTCTTTATTTAATAAGTAGAAATAAATCTAAGCAGGGCATCAAATATATCTTTTTGGATAAACAAAACAAAACAAAACAAACATGGAAATGGGAGTGGGATGGGGAAAAGAGACAATCACTTTTTAAGAGAATAAAAGATTCCTTTCATTGGCATCATACAGGAGTTTAAATAACTTTTTTGTTTTCAAGATGTTTATGTTGCAACATTATTTACCCCTTCTTCCACAAATGAGAATTCTGTATCATAGAGAAAAAAAAAGGAAATAAGTGATATTCTAGTAGTATGAGTTTTTGTTCCTCAGCTTAAAAATAGCTAAATATATCTATCATTGGTTTTCAAAGTTACTTATTATTAAAGAAAACTGCATGATACAAGGTATAATTTTCATATTAGTACTAGGCTCTTTTTAATGGCATCTTTAATACTCTTTAATAAAATCTAGAGATTGTTTCCCCTTTTCATTCTTATGTGTTTTTTTCCTTTTCCCCTGTTTTATGGAGCATACCAATACATTGCAACATTACAACTAGTGTCAAATGACAGTCAAACATATGTTCTTTCCATTATGTGTACATCTATACTGCATGGAACAGGTGTCACTGCACTGCTGGGACACATGGACAGCTATATAATACTTTCTTTTTTTTTTTTTTTTGACAGGCAGAGTGGACAGTGAGAGAGAGACAGAGAGAAAGGTCTTCCTTTGCCGTTCGTTCGCCCTCCAATGGCCGCTGAAGCTGGCGCACCGCGCTGATCCGATGGCAGGAGCCAGGTGCTTCTCCTGGTCTCCCATGGGGTGCAGGGCCCAAGCACTTGGGCCATCCTCCACTGCACTCCCTGGCCACAGCAGAGAGCTGGCCTGGAAGAGGGGCAACCGGGACAGAATCCGGCGCCCCAACCGGGACTAGAACCCGGCGTGCCGGCACTGCAAGGCAGAGGATTAGCCTAGTGAGTCGCGGTGCCGGCCTAAACTATTAACTTATAATCTTTTTTATAATCTACAAAATCCAACTATATTTTACCTAGATTACCTACATTTCAACTTCTCAATTGCCACATTTGGCAATGGCAATCCCAGTGCACAGCTCAGCTACAAACGTTTAAAAACAGGATCAATAAAAGCAATGACTCACAAGGGAATTATAGCTGTGAAATTAACATATGTGTGATTTTCATTCTTCTCATGAAATAACTAAAACTAAGGTCATATATTTAAAACTGCTGGAGTGATATTATATAGTGATACAATATATGTAATATTTTGTGGTGCATGCTCATACACAAATAAACATATAACACAGCAGAGCCTCAGAAATACTAGCTTCATAACTTGCAGAAATTTCAGAAATTCATATTAAAATGCAACAGCATACTTTTATCCACTTAGTTTCATTACATTATTATATAGATGCAGGACAGGATCCTATGCTAATTAGTAAGATCACAGAAATCTCTTCTGCCAGGATAACTAGTGAAGATGAACCAGCCAACAACAGTGGTGAAAACTGATCTCTTAAGCTTTATTTTCCAGTAACAAATGTCTGTTGTCTAAATTCTGGAGTAATCTCTTATGGATGTTATCTCAGCAAAGTAAACTTTTGGACTATCAATCCAAATGTTCAGACTCTGAATAGTCTGAATGCACAGTAAACTCTATCCTTTAACTGAAAAGCTCAGACAGTACTTGATTCTAAATGCTGAACATAGTCTTCCAAAATTCCCAACACGGATGCTTAAGACATATAAGAAGCAAACCTTGCAGAACAATTATACTAAGTCTTAATTTCATGTACTAGGAAATTACAGTTTAGAAAACATGTGGAGACTCTTTGCAGTGAGTTTTTAAAAATGAAGATGGTTTTCTATCAGCACTAAGCTATTCAATGTTCAAATCTGTTCAACAATTTTAATAATGCAATAAATAAGATAAATAAGAGTACAACTACAATTAGAAGGCAAATTGTGTTTCAGAGCCATAATACTTTTTCTCTTCCCTCCATTCCCTTCCTCCCCTGCTTGGATTGCCTAGAACACAGCTCCTTATTCATGAGTTACTGAGAGGAAATTGCAAAGCATAAATTCAGTCTCTGTTAACAGAAATTATAATCTTAGTGAATTTGAGAAGAAAATTTAAAAAGCATATATTACAATAACAGTTGTCTTAATTTAAAAAATTTAACCACACCTATAGGAATAGTTACACAGTTCTCCCCCAACCCTCACCTTTTGGACAAAAGCAGTAACAGACTTTAAATGTCTGTTAGAACAGCTATCTCTGCACAAGTCCATATAAGCTGATATTTCAGAGTGAATGTAGCTCCACTGTTTTGTTACATGAATGAGTACTATAGTTCACTTATGAGTAATTTTTTTAAAATATTTATTTTATTTATTTGACAGGCAGAGTTACAGAGACAGAGAGAGAGGTCTTCTATCCACTGGTTCACTCCCCAGATGGCCGCAACGGCCTGAGCTGTGCTGATCCGCAGCCAGGAACCAGGAGCTTCTTCCAGGTCTCCCATGCAGGTGCTTTCCCAGGCCATAGCGGAGAACTGGATTGGAAGCGGAGCAGCTGGGTCTTGAACCGCTGCCCCTATGGGATGCCAGCACTTCAGGCCAGTGCTTTAACCTGCTGCGTCATAGCACCAGCCCCAGCCTGTCAACTCTTTAAGCCCTTCTGCATTCTTTAGTGAATATCCATACAGTAGTTTTCAACACAAGTATGACCTTTCTTCATACTAGGTAAGAGTAAGGCTTTAAATCTAAACAGATGCTGGATTTCATTATCAGCTTCTCTCCCCACTTTCCAAAAAAGATAGAAAGTTCAAATTTTTGAGAAAGACTCTGTGAGGGGGGAAATTGGGGAGGTAGCCCAGTACTTGAAAAGGAACATTGGCGGCCGGCGCCGCGGCTCAATAGGCTAATCCTCCGCCTTGCAGCGCCGGCACACCGGGTTCTAGTCCCGGTTGGGACGCCCACAGCGGCCATTGGAGGGTGAACCAATGGTAAAGGAAGACCTTTCTCTCTGTCTCTCTCTCACTGTCCACTCTACCTGTCAAAAATAAAAAAAAGAAAAAAGAAAAGCAACATTGGCATATAAACTAGATCTTAAAAATTCTTTGCCTACCCACTTTCCAGCTGTGTGAATATGCAGTTACCTAGTCTGTATTTCTTCTATGAGCTATACAATGAGGATAAGAATTCCTCTATTTCTTTTAAGAATTAAATGACATAAAATAAGACTCTTTAAAAAGTGCATGGAAAAAGCATATTATGACAAAGCTATACATAGATATCAAATATATTTTGTACAAAATTTTATTTTATTCTGAAGACATTAATTTTTTTAAATTTGCAAGGTAGAATTAGAGGGAGAGGGAAGGAAAGAGAAATCTTCCATCCCCTAGTTTACTCCCTAAATGGCCACAATGGCCAGGGCCAAGCCAGGTCTAAGTCAGGAGCCTGAATTCCATCTGGGTCTCCCATGTGGGTGGCAGAGGCCATTTTTCCATTGCTTTCCCAGGCACATTAGCAGGGAGCTGAATAGGAAGCGGGGCAGCCAGGGCTTGAACTGACACTCTTAGGGGATGCTGGCATCGCAGACGGCAGCTTAACATGTTGTACCATAACACCAGCTCCTTAAATTTATCTTTTTAATCTCATTTTACCCAGAAACTTTAAACAAATTACATACAGGGATGACCCCAAACCTTGCTGGGTACACCTCATTCTCAAGCAAGTCCACACTCCCTTTCATGTATTCTTGCTTTGCTGAAAATAAATCTTATTCTCTTAACTTTACATATGCCTCAGCCTCAAATTCTTTAGTGTGTTGGAGACAAGAACTTAGACCCAGCCACCTGAGAACACCTGGACCGCTGCAAGGACTCATGCAAACTCAGCCTAACTCCCACAGGCCAACAAACCTATGGGACCTTACTAACACTGCCACAGGAATCTAGCAACTGGGCCCAGTAGGCCACCTCTAGGTCTACTTGTGACATAGACTGTCTGCCAGTGATACTCCCATGACTCTGGCTCTGCTCTCACAGCTGAAAGCTACTACTGTGACCCACATAAACCCACTGAGACTGAGGAACACTTTAGGTCCTCACCACCATCAATACAGAAGACTACATTAGAGCATCCAAATGAATCTAAAGCCAAAGTTGCCTACCAGGGGCTGGTGCCATGGTGCAGTAGGTTAATCCTCCGCCTGCGGTGATGGCATCCTACATGGGCACCGGTTCTAGTCCCAGCTGCCCCTCTACCAATCCAGCCCTCTGCTGTGGCCTGGGAAAGCAGTAGAAGGTGGTTCAAGTTCTTGGGCCCCTGTACCCACACAGGAGACTGGGAGGAAGCACCTGGTTCCTGGCTTTGGATTGGAGCAGCTCCATCTGTTGTGGCCATTTGGGGAGTGAAACAACAAAAGGAAAACTTTTCTCTGTTTCTCCGTCTCACTGTGTGTAACTCTACCTCTCAAATAAATAAAATCTTTACCAAAAAAAAAAAAAAAAAAAAAGTCACCTACCAAACTGACACACAAAGATAAATCTTCAGGAAAAAGATTTTTACTATAAAAGCCACCCTTTAAAAGCAATAGAGACACCTGATCCACCAAATGTCCTAATATTAATACAGGGAAGCAAGTGTGAAAATGTAAAGCAATATGATGCCTTCAGAGGATACATGTAATGCCTGGTAACCGACTCAAAGAAAAGGAGACTAATAAAACACCTCATAAGGAATTAAAAAGGATAATTATAAACATATAAGAAAATACAGATGGAGCATTTAACAAAATTAGGAAAACAATGTATGATATAAATGAGAAATTCAGCAGTGATATGTTATAAAAGAACAGAAATCATGCAAAAGAAGAACTCAGTAAGTTAAGTAAAATGTACATTAGAAGG